ATTTGCACATTCCATGCCGTTCGACATCAGGCTCGACGTAAGACTTATAATCCGACTTTTGGGATCACCTTAAATCCGTCAGAACTCAATGCTGCGAAGATATTTTCATGCGAAAAACACTGGCGATTTACGGACGAATCAAACACTTCCTCAGACTGTTTTCCGACGGGTGGCGGAAGCAGACGCGTCAGATGATTTCTCCACATGAGGTCCTGGTCCTATTCCAGCGTTTAAGCTACGGCAAGAGATAACCCCAGTTCGTGAAGAACTCGTCCAGGATCATTCTTGGCTGTCCCCTGAGTCTGTGCCAGTCAAGTGAGCAACCAGTAGCTACTTCCCAGTCCTCTTTGGAGGCATTCAAAAAAAATCCTTTTCAAATCATCGCAGCTGTGATCTCAGTCGGGACTAGCAGCAACGAGACGGTATCCAAGGCTTACTCGGATATATGATTTTTGCTTTCTGCCAAGATGTGCGAGCCGAGTGGATTCGTCTAAAAAAAGTCCCATTTCAGTCGCTTGTAATAGGGACCGCAGTTTTGCGCTGTGCCTCGACGTGAGGCGTCCCTAAGGTGAGCAGAACCTTTGCAAACTCTTGATTATATCATATGCATTTATACAGCTGATATAATTTTATCGTGATCTTTGCTATTCTGCATTAAAGCACTGTGAAAACCATTGAGCTCTGCATCAAAACTAGTTGATAATCTTCCAAACATTAACGAACGTTTGAGAAAACGGCCTGTAGCGGTGATACAATGCGATCGAAAACGATTGAACGACTTTGCTTACCTACAACGTTTCGATTTCGACCTCAACATGGAAATAAACCTCACGTAATTTATACTTATTGAAAACTAGCTACCTGCCACTACTAACTGCACGACAGCTTCTCTCATCTTCTGTCCTGCTGCACATGCGCTACTGTCACATTATACATCGGTCAGAACAAATTTTCATATATAAGCATCAATTTTCCCAACTCGATATGCAACCGTTACCCAAGCACACATGACTACATGCATCTGATGAGGCTCGATATAACTTAGTTTCGTATTCTTTCTAATTTTATTTTATGCCAATCATATTAAAGGTGGTGGTATGTGTATCATTGCTAAATCCTATATAAGTATAAGATATTAATCTTATATAACTCAAATCAGTTTCGATTTTGATATTGATCAGTTCTATTTATTTAGTAAAATGGGTCTCATAAGCTGAGATGTATGGCATCATACAGCCATTTTCAAGTGATTGTTAATACAGACCTGCCATTTCGGTGTTAACCAGAATATCGTAGAAGCCATATAAGTCAATTCAAAATATCATACTATACGTAGTATCGTCTAAGTAACCACTTCTTTTAAATTCAAATTTTGTCAAAGTTAGCAAGTTACTTGCTACAAATAATTTTTAAGCGCTGGTTAACATTCGGCCAGAGGAACAAGGAACCTCAGCTTGATTGACGGCGACGAAAATATCGTTGATTTTTCAATTACCAATCTCTAAATGATGATCATGCGTCATAGCTAGCTATCTGATCAGAGTTTACTGTAAGAAGGAAATACAGTGCACTGAATCAGTCGTCTGACCTGAAGAAACAGATCAGCCAAATAGAATCACTAACGGCGAACATCCTGCGATTCATCGTTCCGCAGATGAACCTGTGTCTCTTACTGACCTTACCATAAACTTTCCAGTTAGTCGTAAGAAGTTGCCGGAAGTTATGGTTGCCAAAAATAAAGATCTGTATTTCCTCCTGGCCGCTGTCCTAATTAAAACCAACGAATGTATCAATGGACACCGTGTTCGAGCAGTTCAACATAATATTAAACCGTTTAACACGCCATTTCAAAAAGCTTCTACATTCTGCATGCTCAGTTATAATGCCCATCAGCGCGTTAGATGATTTATAACTGCTGAACGCATTCTATAAATCCAACATGGCTTTCATGCTCGGTGAGATTACAATCAACTGATAGGAACACATGTTCAGTCTAAGTGCAATCCAATGGACATAGCTAAAATCGTACATTCAGTGGCATGACAATAAATGTGAGGTTAAAGCTCTATTTTTAGACGAAGCTAAGCAGATTTCGATGTGATTGCGGAAAATCCAAATAGAATAGCCTTCACACGGCACTCCGAACGCAACACGTGATGGACGTAATAAAGTCATACTGTCTATTTGTATGGAAAGCTGATAACATGATACGTATTTCTTTTTTGATACCTTC